TCATAAAGGTTCTAGCACCTTTATGCTAGACATCTGCTGTTTAGAAACCTTCCTCTGGCATAAAAGTGCATGGCCGTTAGATAGATGTCAGTGACTAGCTTGGAAAAGAAAAAAGCAACTTTTATAAAAGACCCCCAGCATTTTCATTCAGGAACACAGCTATGTAAATCCAATTTTTTACTTTTTCAAGTAACGGATGAAATAAAAACCATGGCACTATGCTACAAAATCATAGCACTGGCATAAGGTTTTGGTTTAGTTTAATTGATTATGGCAAAGCACACTAGGACTATCTCCTTAAAGGGAGGATGCCCTCATTGAGGATTTTCTAAGGGAAAGTGGCAGGTATACACATTATGCTTAGGGAAAACCATGAAAACACCCATGCAGCTAGCTCGTTTCCCTGGAATTGAATGCAAGTCAGAATTACCAGTGTTCAGAGATTTTACTGCTGAGCATCTTGTGGCTCACACTTGCATAACGTTGATAGTCTAAATTGGAACGAAAGTATCAGCAGCTTGGCACAAAAGTCTGAACATTCACAGTAGTTCTGATGCATTTGTGTTGCAAACTGTTATTCTTAAAAGGAGACTTATACATTGCAGTAATAACTAAGAGCCAATTAGAACCAACTGGTAATGAATGTGGTACTTTACCATTTCGCCACCACAAATCTTGTCAAACAGACTTAATTGGTGACAACATACAGTATACACATAAAAAAAAATGTTAACAAATGTTAGTTCTAAGAATTTTTTTAATTTTGAAGGCATAAACATTTTAATATTGTTTAAAATTTTGTAAAAAGCCAATAAATTTGTAAAAAGGCATTAATTTAAGAATTTATTATGCTTTCATGATTCAACAAGCTGATTTGGCAGTTCATATCACGCGACCCAAGTGATCTCATCTCATATAAACTACGCTACAAAAATCTAATTCTCTCAGTTATTATCTACATTAATTTCAAGTTAAATCTTAATTTGGAATACAAGTTTAAATGCAAGAATTATTTCAGTTTGTACAAATAGTTTACTCAGAAATTATGTAAAACCGCAGTGCTTTACTTCGCTAGTGTATTTTCATTAGAATGGATGAATTTAACCCTTGACTTTGCCTTTTCTATATTTTTGCCTTCGGGTGAGCAGTGTAATTGCATCCTAATTAACTTAATTACCGCAAATGGCCTTAGGGCATAAAATTGTACTATCTGGTAAAAATTCTATGTAACTGTAAATTCTATGTAACTGTATGCCAGTATTGAAAGAACCAATCTGATAAGAAATGGCTGTGACTTGTTTTGAAAATAAGGCATAAAAGGTTACCAGCGAGGATATTCTGTTTGGCATCAGTTGTACTATTATTAGTGACTTTATCGCCTGCACCGGAAAAATGGATAAGTACCATGAATATTTCTTTTCACCAGAATGCGAAACTAAAAATGGAAAATCACATTAAACCATAGATATGGAGTAAATGATATTCTATTATTATTTTAGAGATATTATCATTGGGCTACTGAATTTGAACAACGTAGAATGAAAATGCAAACTGTCAAATAAATATATTTTCTTTAATAGAAACAAAAGTATAGTTTTTATGTCTTAAATTTTTGTTAAAGTTAACCTTCAGGAGCAAGAGTGCACTTGCTCATAAACATTAATAAATAATATAGAAAATGACAGTTATATAAATTATTTTTTATTCAAGAGTTTTACAAAGAAGGTTTGGGTAGTATATCCCATCATTTGGAATATTATCTGAATTTGTCTCTAGTGGGAGAGGAAGTGAGAGTATTTCAGTCTTATTCTGCAGAAATTCAAGCATAATAAATGATTGAAATTTAAAAATTTATTTTTATTATTGATTGGCATAATAACCAGCATAAAGATACACTCATCATTATGAGGTGATGAAATTCCATATACAAAACATTTTATTCAACTTATTGGTTGTTTCCAAATATTGAAGCTGTACTTTATGTGCATTTTCCCATTTATTTAAATTCATATAGTTATAAATAACATAAAATAGGAAGTTCCCAATTAAGAAACTTTTTCATAAAATATCTATGTTGTCATTTAGCCTTTTAATCTTGTTTTGTGGATAACAGTTTTTAATATTTAGGAAGAAATTTGACTACATGCATTCTGACTTTAGATTCACTTAATTAAAACTCTATTTTAGCATTATGAAATGGTCATCAAAATTTACATATGTCCTTTTAATCATGACGTTACTTTAACCCTTTCCGACACACTACCTTTTAAAGTCAGAATTTTGACAAAAAAATAATAAAAATGGTATGCTGTGTATTCAGGCCTAGAGGAGCAATGTATTGATTAAAAGAAATTTCAGCATTGTGCGGAAAAATCAGATTCAGTTTTGGTCCAGTTTATATACTGACATGCCGAGTGCAGTTCTTCTGCAGGAAGTTAGATCATTTACCCACAACACTGTTTATTTTTAGCCATGAAGCAAAACATGCAACTATGTTGACTCTGTAAGGTCAGGATCCAGAGATGCAAGGCTTCTCTGATACAAGTTGCAGCCCATTTTCTGAAAATTTGTATAAGATAGTCAATATTGTAGCTTTCACTTTATGATTGATGTGATTCCTATCTTGTTAACTCATGCAAATTGCTAGATGTGTAGAATGGTCTATAAAGTTTTCACTATTTTTCTTCAGAATCTTCTGAAGCATATTTTATAGTAGGTGGCCTAAAGGAGAAACCTAGTAGGTTCTATCCTAAAGGAGAAACCCTTCTTCATGAATTTAACTCTAATCTTTTTATTTTCAAGTGAATTTTTAAAACATTGGTGCAATAATCTCTGCTTCCTTGAAAACCAGTGCTCTCCAGTACAGTTAGACAGATATCAAAAATCAAAATCAGTATTAACTTCTTTGAATGATCGAAATCCAAAATTTTTTAACAGTTCTCCTTGACTGTGTTCTGTATGCTGGACTGCTGCTTTGATTTGGGATTTTAATATCAGATCTTGGACTCTTGGGGACAAATTTTCTGTTGAGAAAATTAAGCCTTTTTCTCCATTCTCTTGCAGTGCTGATCTGGTAGAGTTTGTATCCTTCATTCAATGAATATTTCATCTATTATGCAAAAATGTAACATATTTCCAGGTACTTCTTATAATTTGCAGATTCACGAATAGTTTATTGTCTGTCTTTCAGTAATGTCTTTGTTTTCACCGTGTTCTCATCATTCTTCAGATGCTCATGTATATTTCTGATAATGAATTGAGGTCTGAGTTCATCCTGCATTTGCCTCGCTTTGAATGCCTTCACCTTTTGAATCTGCCCATTTTCTCTTTGCACATTAATGTTTTAATCTGTAATGTGTCTTGTCTGTTTATAAGTAACTAGACACAAAATTCAATATTGATCCATTTTCTGTTAATTTAAATCTATTTCCTTCTCATCACTATTGTGATATACTCTGCATTCACAGAATTGCTATCATAGAATATGTACTGTGTTGCCAGCCTGCAAACTTTGAGAACAGCCCATATCATAAATCTGTATTCAATACTTATAGCCAGAGTACACATAACCTATCAAAGTACATATAACCTTTACAAAATATTCATTTTATCATTGTCTGTAAGGAGACTCAAACAATGTCTGTTATAATAAATGTAATATTTCTGATGTATATTTGATGTATATTTCTGATGATGAATTGAGGTCTGAGTTCATCCTGCATTTGCCTCGCTTTGAATGCCTTCACCTTTTGAATCTGCCCATTTTCTCTTTGCACATTAATGTTATAATCTGTAATGTTTCTTGTCTGTTTATGAGTAACTAGACACAAAATTCAATATTGATCCATTGTCTGTTAATTAAATCTATTTCCTTCTCATCACTATTGTGATATACTCTGCATTCACAGAATTGCTATCATAGAATATGTACTGTGTTGCCGCCTCAAACGTTGAAACAGCCCTATCATAAATTGTATTCAGTATTTAGTCAATAACACATAACCTATCAAAGTACATATAACCTTTACAAAATATTCATTTTATCATTGTCTGTAAGGAGACTCAAACAATGTCTGTTATAATAAATGTAATATAAAGGCTAAATTTCGTGATTCTTAGATGAGAATACAAATTTTACATTCCAAAACAAAATGTGTAAGGTCAGTTTGACGTAGCCTTGGAAAGGGCTAATTCTTTTGGACCCTGGCACAGGGACGTACAAAGGTGATGCGATAAAGGGAATCTCTTTTGAAATTTTTCATAATCCTGAATCATCAAGAGTTAAGTGATCATATCCTGTATTTAATATATGTATGGTCAGAATACATTTAGTGGTGTAAAGGGAAGAAGGCAGTTTTTGTGACCCTAATTAATATGGTTTATTTAAGTTGTTCTGCATTTGAATTTTGTTACTCGAGTTCATTTTATTATTCATTCTGAATAATATCATACAGCTAGGTAATACTTCCAGTATCAGTGATTTTTCAGTTAATTTTATATATCAGTTTTAAAATTTGATAGTTTTCCAAATGGCACATCATTTTATAGTTTCTTTTGCACCTTCTCTATATTTTAAAAATTTTATTTCTTACAAAATTCGTTTGATTTCTGATAATTTTAATATAATTAACTTGTGTAGCCTCTGTATATGAGGATTTTCCTGTTGCATTTAGAGTTTTTATTAAAAAGGAATGTTTGATAAAAAATGGTAAACTGTGTCTTCCATTTCTACATTATTGTAGATAAGAGAAGCATTTTATAATAATACTGAAATTAAATGTTTATAAAATATCACTGCAAACTGTAGCACTATATTAAATTTTAATTTGTCATGTACATTAACTACATAGTAAAACAGTTGGCAGCATTTATTTTTGAAAACTTAGAATTGTTTAGAATATTTGCTTTGCTTTTCATATTATTTTATGCATGCAGTTTGCTTTTTTTCTGTATATTTATTATGTGATGATGTACAAATATATATATATAAAACCTTTTAGCTGGTATGAAAATGAGGACAAAAAATAACTCAAGTGCTTCTCCTAAGCAAGATGATTCAAAATCCAAGCAGGTATCAATGTCTTGTCTTTAAATTCTTAATTCATTGTAGAAGATTTTGAAGTGGAGTTCATTTTTTTCTGTTAATTAGCATAACCTAGCAGTTGTAGGAAATGCATGATGACTTGTGTGCTCTTTTCAGTAGTATTTGCTTAAATTTCGAATTAAAGTTTTTAAAATATTGCGAATTAGAAGTTTATTTTGAGTAACAGCATTGAAAATGCCAAACTAAAACTTTTGCATTTGTATTCTGAATAGAATTTGTGGTTAAATAATTTTTGCATCGTTCCTATCATTTTATTGAATAGATAAATTGAGAAGCTTTAGTTGATGCTGTTAAAAGGTTTTTCAGTATTGGGAGACGATATTTTCTGGTTTTTGTGAATTTTGGAAAATTCGTTGTACAAATAATCTGTTAATCTTTCCACGTAGATGGTGATCAGTGACAGGAGTGGCTGAGGCTATGAAACACTGATAATTAGTCTGTGTTTCAATTCCTACTCATTTCATGGATTGTTTGCATAATATTTTCAGGATTTTATTTGTGTGTAATATGTATATACAGACTGGTTACAACTAAACTCATTAATACCTTGAGATATGTGAAGACAGTTCTAATGAAATTTGATTTGCATGCTATCTGTATCAAGACTGCACAAATTCATGAAGAGAAAAAGATAGTTCAATTTTTTTTTCCATCAGGAGTAAATTTAATACTATCAAGAATAACAGCTATAAGATGGGTTTCCAGAATTTTATTACATGAATAAAATTGTAAAGTTGTGAGATCTTTCATTGTGTATCATATTTGAAACCACATGATTGTATTATCAGTTGCATCATACTGTCAAGAAGAGTCTGGGAGATAATGTCATATGCTGACTTTTATAGCTGTAACATAGAGGATATACATCTTCAATAAACACTTCGGAATCCTTTTCCATAATATGAATTTTATAAGCCCCAAGAGATGGCACATATTCTTAGCATGTAACCATCTGTGATCAATTACTCTGTCTTTCATTTGAATGGTAGTATCCTCATATTCATGGTCTTATAACACTGTCACAATATGCTATACATCTCACAAGACTTTCACATGTTATGCTTTTCAAAAAAAGGGGGGGCGAGAATGAAATTAGTAATGTATCTACATCATATGATTACTTGTGCCAAATGTAATGATTTTTAAATAATGCAAGGATGCACTAATATTAAGAAAGTAGCAGTTAGAATTGCTGATGCACTTTTGAAGTAGAAATATGACTCTTCTATGCACAGGAAATTCAGTGTGTTGCTCATTCAATTAAACTTGCATAAAAAAATTCAAAGCAAAATAATTAAAGCATTAGGTGACTCTTGCTATTTCACATGTTAGATCATTTTGATTCTGTAGGGATCTGCAAAATCTTATGCATCATTGATCAAGGAATAGAAGTTTCTGTGCCACTGCTTGGACACTTACTGAAGCATTTGGTGTACTAGCAGTTTTCCTAGCTACTGTAATAGTAATTTCATTAATCATTTTTGTCCTGATTGGTTGCCCTAAATATGCTCCAATCCAATGTTTTTCCTTGTTTATGACCATGATGAACCAAATTGAATGATTTCTGACATTAGCCATTGACGATTTTAAATCAGCAAATTTATTTCTTCTAATTTGCATAAATTTTCAATTTCAACAAAAAAAATCTTTCTTTTTAAATTTTTGCCCGATGGTCTGTTTATCATGTATACCAAATTTCATATGAATCAGGTGAAGATAATATTCTCCACACATACCTCTGAGTATTATCAGCTTGATTACATCCACCCTGTAGTTTAATTATAAGTCCTTGATCCCTTAATATCTTAATCATAAGAAATAAAGAAATAAACCAGTTTTTGTAAACCAGAAGTGTTAGGTATAGACGTAATAAAAATACAGTTTAATCGTGTAAAATAATATATTTTACAATTTATTAACATACAAGTTTTAAATTATATTTGGACTTGAGGCATTTAGCTGTGCTACTCAACAAGCATGGAATCATTCCTAATGGTCATATTTTAATCTCTTGATGTATAATACAGATTATCTTGGTTACTGCATAACTTATATCTGACTCACAGTGTATTTCATGTTCCATGCATGCATGTGTGACTAATGATTTAATCTATTGCTAAATGTAATCAGTTCATCTTGGTATTAAATATTAACAAATAATATACAATATGTCTCTTGATATATAATATAGAACATCTTGGCTACTACATAACTGAAAAGTATGTTTGATATCAACTAATGATAAACACTAAACATGAATATAGATTTAGTATGTTCTTGGTATCATGCAGATGGAGTTAAATGTTTTGATTTGATTATTGGAAGCAAGACCTGGAGGTCTCACTCCATCCCAAATAAGAAAAAAATAATCGTGTATGTTATTGTTGTCTGGGATTATAAGAATATACTTAATGCTATAAGGGTTTACTGAGAATACAGGTCAGTGCTTAGTATACCATTCAAGTGTGATGAGTGTAGTCTTAAAGCTGCTTATTTTAGAGGGCTCTAGAATAAACCACTGATTACTTGTAACCTTTTTTTTATGTCCTTTTTAGTGGGTCTTGACTGTGAAATACTGGGATACTACTTCAAGCTAATATTATAAACCAGTTTTGTATATTGCTTTCTTATGCAATGTGCTTCTTTTTAATACCTTTTCTCATGCTGTTGCAGTTTCAAATTTACTGGTAAATTTTAAGTGGGAAGTTTTGATCAATGACCCTTTAAGTAAAGATTTTATTACAAGTTATTCTCAGCTTTTCCTTATCACAGTTACTGAGCAAAAAATTTTGTGGATGTCATGAATGGTGCTATATGGCTAAAAGCTAAAACATAAATAAACAGTAGGAAAGTGAACTGTGATCTTTGCACATCAGTGAAATAAAGTATTTCTTCTTGCCCAATCATCTTGCAGAATATCCTTCATAGAGTAGACAGAAAAACATCAAAGGAGGGTCTAAAATTCTTGTGGGGTAATTACTAAATAATGCCAAAGGCAGATGTTCTTAAAGTAAGCCATACAAAAAGACTGCAAATGCATACAAATGATGTGTATTAAATTTAAATAAGTAGATATGCTAAAAAGGTGAATAATAATAATGAAGAAACTATGAATGCAATTAGGTAACAGATAAAGAATTACTGAACAATTTAATGGAAAAAGTCATTAAGAATTGCAAATAAAATAAATTGGAATATTCAGTAATCAAAACAATCACCAAATTTTTAAAGGAGACAAAACTTTATAATAAGTTTTAATATATTTTTGAGGTAGAAGCTTTAAATATGATCACTAAATATTGTTTGATAACTTAGTACCCTTAAAACACCTTGAAAGTTTTTTGTATAAAGAGTGAGTAAATGATGTTCAATTCTCAGCTTATCTTCAGCACCATTAAGATATTTTTTTCTGTTTACTTTTAGTTTGAAATGTTTTCTGCCTTTGTGAAGTGATGCATGTTTAAAGTTTTAGTTAACTTTTTAAACAGTTAAAATTGGTAACATTGTAATACTCCATTTCTCTTTATACTTATCTGTAGGATGAAGATTTAAAATGGGTGGAAGAAAATATTCCTACATCTTTATCAGATGTGTAAGTTGTAAAATGTATTTTATGATTTGATTTCATGCATCTATGACAGTAGCTTTTATAAATGAAGAACTCATTTAATGTGTGTTACATTTTCAGAGCCTTACCTAGTCTTTTGGATTCCGATGAGGTAATGAGTGATTAATTAATTTTATATATTTAGAATAAATCTTATTAGGATTTTATTTAAAAATAAATTTTATTTATACTTGGATATTCGATGAATGCTTATAGAATTTGACAGTTCACAGAAAATAGTTTTTAGTAATGAATTAAGTTGATCTAATTTTCTGTTTGAAGAAGTAAAAAATATGCAAAGGCATTATAATTATATTCACCTTACCTATTCAGCATTCCACTCTTAAAAAGTTTATAGTAGTTTATTTGTTCATTGTCTCAGTGCCTTGCTGTTTCTTGTGATCCTCATTTATTTTATTAACCATTTACCAGTTTTATTTTTCTGCCCAATTGTGTTAAAAATAAGCATATTTTTAATAAACAATTTTGAATTTAAATCAGCAGTCAAACCTGGTTCAAGTATTGTGTTTATTAAGTTAATTTTTAACTACATTGAAAATAAGGCATTTTTACTTAGAGTTGGCTTTTTTCCTGATGAATGTGTAAAAGTTGGAAAGAACACTTTATAGGAGATGGGGGGGATGTATTTTTTTAAATACTTACATTTTTATTTCTTTTCAAAATTCAGTTTTGGTGTGATGTATTTTAAAACATGGAGGTTATCAGCATCCAGTATTACAACCAGGATAAAAGTATCTGTTTTCTTTTCTGATGTCATTCCTTTTTGAGCCTAAGCACCTAAACGAAGCCTAAATGAAAATCACTTCACTGTCCTTGAACTGGTTTTACAATGCAGTCTCTTCTGGACTATTAGAGATTTATTAAAAACGCTGCAAAGTAAAAAAACTGAAAAAGGCCAGACAAATCATCAGACTGGTGTAGGAAAAAATACTGCCCGAGTGGTGTACAGGCAAATCAGAGAAGTTCCCTTTTGTAGCATCAGAGCAGTGCTCGAGCAAAACTGCTAAGTGGTTAAGCTAGTTTCTCCTGTGTTTTTATTTCTATTTAATATAAATTGCTTTACATATGTAATTTTTCAAAATTCCCTGACCATTTCTTGTTTATATATAGTTGACACTATTTAGTTTCCTCAAGTGAGGTATTTTAGTGTTTAAAGAAATGTGTGTTTCATGTGTTTAAAGAAACATTTTACCCAGTTTTTTTGCTAACTGCTGCAGATCATCTATAATAAACTTCTCTCCCACCTTTCAGTGTCCAACTTTGTTTCAAAGCTATATGAAACTTGGTATACATGCTGTTTGGATAATTGGAAGATGATTTCCAAATGAAAGAATTGTCATTCAAAATCGCATCTCTTGATGGAGCTTTTCAGTAAAAATTTATACAAATTAGGAAGCAGTGTGCGTTTGGTTTAAAAAGCAAAGGTTTAGTTTTGTAAAATAGTTTCGTGTTGATCCTCATCCAGCTAATTAAGAATGCATCGATTTTCCTTCAGCCTTTAGAGAAGAAAGAACAGATGCTTTTGCTGAAGTTATATTTTTCAGGTGGAGGGATATTAATAGTTCCTTACTGCACTCTCAGAATATTGCAGTGTGAAAGGTTTAAGAAAAGGTATGAGATTTTATGGTCCATTGTAAAGTGATATCGATAAGTGTGAATGGTTCAGAATTTGAAATCACAAAACCTACTTAAACACATCTCTTTTACTCTGCATTTTTAGTAAGAATGAGAATGAATGATGTAGACTTCGAAGTACCTTTGGACAAGTGAGCCACATTTTTCTTCCAGGGAGCAGTAAACACTCAGAACTGCCACATAAGCTGTTCCTTTCGTACTGATGTGTTTCAATAGAAGCCTTTACAGTTTGATTATGTTACTATACACCAAGTGTACAAAAGTCCTTACAAACGCCTGTTTTTGTAAATGTTTGTCATAGACATGTATCCAATTGGAGAAAATTTTTGAAGTGATGCAGGTATTCTAGTTCTGGCATTTAAAAATTCAAACAATTTTGTAAAAATTATGAATCTTATTTTTTTATATCATCTGCTTGTATGCAGTTAGTAGAATGGCATGCACATTCTAAAAAATAAAACAAGAAATTTACTCCTCTGTAATGGAAATTGACTGAAATGTTTAATTATGATGTTAGATCATGCTCAGGCATCATGCATAAATTGAATTGTGAGATATTTGCAGTTGAAGTGGAAAGTGAATTATCCATTTAGAAAAAGATTTCTGTGTTAATAGATTGACAAGTACTGCTTTGCAGACTTTTGAAACGTATTAATCAATTTAAATTTATTTCCATATTATTCATAACATTATTAGCATAAAAAATAATATCGAATATAATGAAATTTTTCATATTAAGACTATCTAAATTTTTCTTCTATTTGAATCAAGCTTACTTTATCTTCTTTTTTTTTTTTAAAGTGTAAATTTTTACTGGTAATAAGTATAGGGACAGTGGGACCATTTAAAAAGTTAAATTTTGTAATATTTTCAAAAGTAGTTTTTTAAATTTAAGAATAACAAAACATTTTGTAATTATATGCCTTTGACCAACAGTTGTGGGAATGAAGGCTGTATAAGGACTTAGTGGACACATTGTATAGAGTAAGTTTGCAGCCAGCTCATTTTGGCCAAAAGAGGCCACAATGAGGCTGGCACTTCAAGGTTATGTGAGGCATACATACAAATGCATTTTGTAGTATACTCCTTGCACAGTTCCAGCTTTACAAAAGTAGGAATAGCTGGATACTACAGCCTTATGTAAAATAGATCAACTGTTCATATTGGTTACAGGCTAAAATTGATTATCCCATTTTCAATGACTTTTGTATTATTTACAGATGCGTGGTTACCCTGTGACCTCGCTTTGGCATAGAGTTTTTTTTAAAACTTACATGTATAAGTGAAACTGATATCCAGCGTTTAAGCAGAAGGTCAGTAAAATATGAGTTGGATCTCTTGAAATCCTTAATGCAACTTTCAATACTACATTGCTGTTTCAACATATGGTGAACAGAAACGTCCCCTAGAAGTTGTTCTAATAAAGTTCCTGATAATCTGTTTAGAAGTTATAGTCCTAGCTCCTTGTCATTGTCTTTTAGTGGCAAAATACTGTACTAATTCTTCCCCTTCTTCTCCCCCCCCCAAAAAAATGTATTTTCCCTTTAACCTCAACAGCACATATCCCATGTATATCCTCATCTTTTGTTCTGTGGATGTTAAAGTCATTTAAGTTTGTAATCACTCTGTATTGCTCTGCTAATGGAATATGTAGCATTTTAATGTATGTATGTTTATCCCATTTAAACCACTGCTATGATTTTTATGTTTCTAATTTCATCTTTTTGTGTGTGTGTAAAAACAATATCTCTATACATAAATCTGCTATATGTTATAAGTAATTTCCAAATTTCTCAGATTGTTATATTAAAATGTGAAATGCTAGCCAAGTTAAAATACAACTGATCACGTGAATTAAAACTGCAGTTACTCTTCTGTACTGCTAGTTAGCAATTCCCAGTATTTAATAAAGAATTTCTTTATGTGCAGAAATCTGCTCTAACATGTAGATTTGTCTCTGTAAACTAGTTTCTGGTACACGCAGCAGAAATTACTGCATGTTTTTTTAAAAGAGATTTGGTAGTAATGATTTCCTCTAAGTTTTACATTTTTTCCTTTTTTTAATAACTTTGTTTTATTAAATTAAATTTTAAAATTGTGTTAATGTTACCATCATTGTATAAAAATACATTGTGCTCTTTATACATGTCAGTAATAGTCTTCCATTTTAATGCTACAGGAGATAATGACAACAAAATTTGAAAGAAGCAAGATGGAGTAATGCCTTATATTTGCATTTCCAGTAAATGGAATGAGGAACTAAATATTAATATTTGTGATTGTACTACTGAATGAAAGTTTTTTTTATTTGAAAATGTACTTTGTAAATATTCTTGTTAAATTATTGCTCTGTATTAAAATTATGCTTATGGCAAATATGTTTATGTGTCTGCTTTTTTCTTCCTTTGATTTTCAAGAATCATGAACCCCTATCTCTATCAGTTAATATTTTTAGTAGTGTTGATGTTTGTATATGTCCAAATAGCAGCTGGTCCCCTGAGGTGAAAAAAGTGGCTGAGAGCTGTTGTGTGTGTGATCTGTGAACTGATTATTTAAGTTTATCAATAACCATTTATAGTGGTCAGGAAGTAATTATTATTATACTAAGTAAGAGTTTTCATAACATGGGTCGTTATGAAATGGATGATGCGATAAATCAGTGGATAGTAGTATACAAAGTGCGTATGAGAGAGTGATAATTCCCAACAAGTCCATAAAGCAATTCAGTGATCCTAGTGATTTGAGGTAAGAGCAATTTCCTTATTTAGCTTTATTTATAATATGTCTGTAATTGTGTAATTAAGGAAAGACAAATAAAACTCATTGCTGTCTAGTTAGGTCTGTCAAAAGACATAAAACTGTTGATTTAAAGAATTTGATAGAAACTAGTATGGTTTTCAAAACCGATCTGGAGCTAATAAAAAGTATAGTTAATTATGTGCTTGAGGAAGTGAAAAAACTCAAAACCAAAACCAAGTCAAAATTGTCTTAAAAAACTCGGAAATGGAACAAAGCTAGAGTTTGAGAAAATCAAGCTAGCGCAATTTGAAAAAGAACTTGGAAATCGCAAATATGTGTAAGGAGTTGTCTCAAAATACATCATCTTCGATGGTAGAGCCGTCAAAGGACAGTTTAGAAAATTTAATAAAACATATTAAACAGTATGTGTCCCAGTACCCTCAAGACTAAAGTTGCTTAATCTTGTTTTCCAGTCCCCCAAGAAAGTGTCTGAAACCAAAAATGTGCTTGATGAGCTAAAATCGGAAATTCTTTGAAATAATCTGGGTGAGAGCATTAATAATTTAATGGCTTATTTAACTCAAGAAGACTTGTGCAGTTATCATAAGCTTAAAAGAATAGTGTTGAAAGAATTTCAGCTAACGACACAATAGTTTTTAAACTGTTTTCAAAGAGTACAAAAATTATATTCAGACAGTGCAATTTGCATCAAGATTAAGTGCTACATTCGAGTGTTATTGTCAGTTGCATAAAGTAAGTGATTTTAAATCATTATGGGAATTAATTGTATTAGTTAAAATATTCGTTTTATTTGATTCGTGAATTGGTGACTCATATAGCAACTAAAAGAGGAGAATTGTATTTTAAACCAGAATAGCTAGGATGAGAATGTGACATTTATTTAACTTCAAAGAGTAAAAGTAAAAGGGAATATAATGCAAATATGAAACCTTCGAATGGAAACAAAATTAAACAGTATGAAAGTCATAAGCAGCAAAAGTTTCAGAATTTGTGTTTTAAAAAAAGAGGTCTCAAATTTGTTTTTATCAGAAGAAAAATGTGTTACATTTTATTTGTGTGAAAACAATGAAGTCTATGCTTTAAACTCATGTCTGCAATTTAAAAGACTTTTGGTTCCTGAAAGAGTAGACGTGGTAAAAATAAGTAAGGTATACTTCAAATGTTTGTCCCCCGAAATGTAGTGCAAGAAATTGTACAGGAAGAGATTGTTTCAGTGGCAAGCCACATAATAAATTAATTAATTTTTCAAGACGAAATAAAAATAAGCCTGATTGCAGGACTCCTTTGAATATCCTTGAACTGCAAACCATTAGTGGAAATCAAATAGGTGAAAATGCAGTTTTTCCCTCCTTGCAGGATTCAAACATAAATAAATCTGTCGTCACTTCAAGGTTTGCGAGAGCTAACACAAAAGATGTTCTATTAAGTACAGTTTGAGCATTAATTAAAAATAACAGTTTGCAGTGAGAAGAGGTGAGATGTATACTGGACTCAGGATCTCAGACATGTTTATTAAGTCAACAATGTATGAAGTGTTGAGGACTAAAAAGCGAAAAAGTAAATAAATTAATTATGTGTTTAAATGATTTGTCAATGGTAGTGAAGGATCACATTACAACAACAGTTGTAAATTAAAACAGGAGTTTTGAGAAAGAGATAAATTTATCTATACAGATCTTATACCACATCAGGTACTCAATGTAAATGTTGAGGTTTCAAACTTAGCTCATTACAGTTTTAATATCCAAGGGAAAGTTCATATGTTAGGTGCAGAGATATCCTGAATTATTGAGACCGCAACAAATTTATGCCCAAAATTCAAAATTGCTTTTACGGAATACAGTGTTTGGCTATATCACAAGTGGAAGTATTGATCAATGAAATGAGACTAAAATACATTGTGGATTGATACGGGAAGGGAATCTGAATGAAACATTAAAAAATGTTTGGGAAATAAAAATGTACATTTAGAATTAACCAAAAGTAAAGAAAATTCTATATGTGAGGAACATCTTGTGCAAGTGCACAGGAGAAGTGAGGAATGTAGATAAGTGGTAACAATGCCCCTTTAAATAGGATCCTTCATGTTTAGATCAGTTTAATTAGATTGCTGTTAAAAAACTCAGATGGCTGTAGACTCGCTTGTCGAGAGATCCAAAGTCTCTCTCTCTCTCTCTATATATATATATTGTGACTTCATTTATGAGTATATTGAAGTAGGATATGTGAAGGAAGTTAAAGAAGAGAAAGAGCCTGAAGTGGCATATTATGCAACACAACATGCAGTATGTAAACCACCACTACTAATTTAAGAGTCATGTTTAACTGTTCAAGGTGAACAAGTAATGGATTTCATTCAACTCTCCAGTATAACGGTGGAGTTATACAAGATTTATTTTTGGTAATTGATGGGATTTAGAATTCATGTATATGCCTTAATGACCAATGTAAAAAAGATGTATAAGATGATACTGATAGATAAAAGTCAACACAGCCTCAAAAGAGTTATGTGAAGTGATAGTGCCAATGAACCACCAAAAATCTATGAGATGGTAGTAATTATGTATGTCAGTGCTCCCTTCTTTGCAGTGAGGACACTAAAATAGCTTTCTTCACATAAAGAGAGTAATTTTCTAATGGCAGCACCTGTGTTAAGTGAAAATTTCTATATGGATGATGTGTTATGTGGAGGTTCTGTGTTAAAAGAGACCAACAGCAGCTTATAGCAGTTTTGCAAAGAGTAGTTGCATAAGTGGTGCACAAGTCATTCTGAACTTACTCTAAATTGGAAAGAATACAGTTTCTTTGATCTGTTTGAAATTAAAACCTTGGGTGTATCATGGAAACTAATAAGGGATTGGTTCATACTCTAAAATAAAATGTCTTATCTTTAATTGCCAGAATATTTGATCCTTTGGATCTTCTTGTCCCAGTTATACCTAAAGTAAAGATTTTTATGCAAAAACTGTGGCATCTTAAAATTGGTTGGAGTGATAGACTTACTACTGGGAAAAATCAGAAACGGCATCAATTTCTGGTGACACTAGACAGCATAAACAACATTGATATTGACAGACATGTTGTGGTTGATCAAGCTAAAGCTGTTGAGATTCATGGTTTTGCCAATGCTTCTAAACGTTGTTTCGCAGAAGCAGTTTATTGCAAGTCCAGCGATTCTTCTGGGACAACAGGTTAATCATGAGTAAATCAAGTTGCTCCTCTTAAAAGTGCTATGTGCCACTGTCTTATTATCAAAGTTGGTGAAAAAAGCCCTGATTACCTTGAAAGTAGCAGTGACTCAAGTCAACTTGTGTACAGACTCAGTAATAGTCCTCACATAGCTGCAAAAGGAACTTATGGACCTTAAGACATTTGTTCAGCATAGAGTGGCCACAGTTTAAGAACTTTCATCTGTCCAACAGTGGCATCATGTTCCATCGGATCAGAATCCAGCAGATCTCCTGTCATGGGATGTAAATCCTAATAAGCAAGTGCATTGCAAATTATGTTGGTCTGGTCCAGTGTTTCTCGTGGACACTGACTATCCAAGTCGTATAGCAACTATCTCTGATAAAAATTAAGAGTTCAGTGCCAAACTCAAAAACTCATCTGATAAAGACTTTATCAACACTTTATCAACGTTGAATGTGACTGTGAATAATTTTTTACATAATTTACTTAAATTGCGTAACTATTTTATGTGTTAGTTTTATTTTCAGGTTTGTGAATAATTTAAAGCCCTTAGAAAGATTGTCAGGACCAATTAGCATGCAGGAAATAGCCAAAGCAGAATTGTTTCTGATATGAAAATAGTTTTATTTTCAGGTTTGGGAATAATTTAAAGCCCTTAGAAAGATTGTCAGGACCAATTAGCATGCAGGAAATAGCCAAAGCAGAATTGTTTCTGATATGAAAAACCCAAAATTAATGCTTTGGTGAGGACATCCGCCAATTAATATGACACAGAACAGTCTTATGTAAATTAAAGAATCTGAATCCCTTCATGGATTCTGATTTGGAGGCTGTTTAAGTAAGACAAATCTTACTTTTGCTAAATATCTGGCAGTGTTACCTAAAGTTCTCAAATTTACTTTATTAGTTATTGAACATTATCACAAAAAATTCACATGTTGGTGCAAATGCATTATTGAGTCGTGTGCGAAAAGTTTTCTCCATTAAAATGGTCCATGTATTTTTCGTAAAGTTGTACATGATTATATTGTATGTTTTAAAAACAAACCAGTTGTGTATAAAATAATGTGAAATCTCCCGTCAGACAGATCTGTACCAGATTATCCTTTTAATTGTAGAGTGGACTTCTGTGGTCCATTTTTATAAGAGTTTGCAACCAAAGAAAAGGAATTTTACATAAAATGTATGTTTGCATATTTGTGTGTTTTGTGTTAAAAGGTTAAAAGGTAGAGCATATTGAAATGGTGATGTGTCTAACTTCCAAAGTCATCATAGCTGCATAAAAGAGATTTAAATCTCATAGGGATAAATGCACAAAATTATGTTCTGACAATGACAAAATTTCATTGGTGACAACAAAGGAATAAAAAGACTACACAGTCTAGTTAAAATCCCATATGAAACCAGCTAATTATTTATCTGTC